TTAAAATTCTAGAATAAGAAGAAAGAGACTAAAAACTAGACTAAAGTTGGATTTACAAAAGAAATAGAGTTATTTTTAACTCTATTCATTACAATACTTAAATACTCAAATCAATTAAACTCAAATACATCAATATTACTGAACTGATTTACTAATTACAATTATTATCTCATAATTCCAAAGTCTATTTTATTACTAATACTAATATTATATTAATATATTATTACAAAATTATTCATGTGACTGTAATTGGGCATGTTAAAGCTTGGATATGAGCTAATTTAAGACAAAAGCTATCTTGATACTATCATATTGAGCAGCTTTAAGTAGTTTAGGTTGATGATTTTCAAAATTCTTTATTTTAGTTAAAAAATAAATTTATAGTTACAAAAAGAAGAATTTTTTAAAAATTGGCTTGCTTTATAATAAAATTGGGTCAAAAACATTTTTTATTTAATAAGTGGCTGCCTAATTCTTTTTTTGTCATGTATTTTTTATGTAACAGTTAGATTTAATTTCATAATACTTCATAGTTATATGTAAACATTTCTAAAATCTGTGATAGGTTAGTTAATAACTTGATATACTATTTAAAATTATTGGTTAATTTTATTAATTTATATATTAATATTTAGTATTTGAAACTGTTATTATTTTTCTTATATTAAAACCAGATTTAATTAGATCTAATATAAAAAAAATAAACCTCTATTAATATCTATACATGTTACTATTACTAAAAGTAAATAATACTAAAATATATGCTATATAATAAGCTTTTTTATAAAGTTTTTTCTTACAGTCTAGCAAATTACTTATTCAATTTTTTTTAGTTATTATATTTATATGTTAGTTGGCTAATTATTAGATATATTTCAACTTAATTAATGAACTTTTTTATATTTTTTTTTTAGATTGAAATAAGTTTGAAGATCTGTATTTTCATTTTCTTTATAAAAGCAGAAAATCTTCAACCTTATATATTTTTAACTAAATCCTACCTGAACTGTAACTCTTAACATAAATCATTGCTCTAAGAAAATTTTTGCATATTTATTGTAGTTCTGTCTTTTATTTCTTTTGTATTGTAATTTGATAAATTAGTGAGTCTGTTACTAATTTCTTCTAATTCTCATATAACTTATAGTAGCTAAGTCAAAATAGGCATGTTAGATTTGGCTAAGTAGTTTATTTATAGATAAGTACTATTCTTCTCTTCTAAGTTTTTCTTTCAACAATTTTTCTTTAACTCTTGCTTTTTCTTATCTTTTTTCTATTTTCTTAACCTGAAGTTACAATGTATCAAGTCAGATTTAGATTTTTTTCTTGTATTAATGACTTAGTTATATAACTTATAATAAATGAACAAAATGCAGTTTAGTGATTTATAAAAGAGTAAACAATATAGATAATAATAAGTTTAACAATAGTTTTTAGTTTGGGTTAGGTTATAGTTCACTTTTATTATAAGTTAGAAACATATTTTTATTAGCCAAAAATGTATTTATTTGGGGGTATCTTTTGTTATCTTCTCTTTGAGTAGAAAGCTTTTTATTTATATTCAAGGATAATTTTTTCTACATTATTTATTTATATTATATTATTTTTAAAACTCCTTTTTCTACTATAATAATAAAAAATCAAATGTTTTATATACTATTACTTTATTTAAAATAATAAATATAATAAATGTAACAAAAGTAATAAAAGTAAAAAAAGTAAGATAAATCTTACTTTTTATGTAACTAGTTACTCAGATAGATAATAAAACTAAATTTGATGATCAATCACATATTACATATAACTGTAATAATAGTGATATTAATTTTAGGACTTAAAGTATATTTCAAATTCAAATAATTAAAAAATTTATATATATATTAAAAAAACTGTGTTAAAAGAAAAAAAGTAAGATTGACTATATGTTTTCAATTATATTTAGTTGACCATAGTGTTAAAATTTTATTATTAATTTTAAAAAAGAAATATTTAAAAAATTTTTTCTTTTTGTTAGTAATAATTTTAACTAATACTGTAATAGCATAATAATTTGAGTATATGATGATAAAAACCTGTAACTGATTATAATGATTAGCTACAGGTTTTTACTTTTATGTATCTATTTGTTATATAGGTCAATGTTTATACTACTATGATAGAGTTAGGCATATAATTGCCTAATCTGTTACAGATTTCAGAAATGCTATACATAATACAGAGAAGAGCATTTCTTTCTCTTTTATTTAATAACTTTTAGAGATTGCTATAGATATAGATTATTGATATAGCAAATAATTAGTACTAATCTAAATACAACATGATCAGTATTATAGTTAAAGTTAGTGTTAGAATATAGCAAAATTAGAAAAATTACATTACAAGCTGCTATGTCTGTAGCAATTCTACTTTTTTTAGCAAAAAAAGTTATTAAGATATAAGATGTATTAAAATCAAATGAAAAAAATACAAAGATTCAAATTAGTCTAAACTCAAGATTCAGGAAATAAGTATTATAAAAGTTATAAAAAAGAACTGTAAAATAAATAAATTTATGCTTCAAATTACAAAATAATATTAGGAAAACCTTTAAATATATTTTCATTATCACATGTTTACTTCCAACAGTATCAGCAAGCTTATAACTTTTTTGAAGTATTTAACTTTAAAATAATTGATTATATAACTTATATTAAGGTCATAGTATGATTCAGAAATTGGTAAGTCAGTTACTAATCTAATCCAACTCTCATGTAATCTATGATAGCTAAGTCAAAATAGGCATGTTAGATTTGGCTGGTGGTTTATCTGTAGGTAAGTACTGGTTTTTACTTTAAGTCTTTTCTTCAATCTATTCTTCTACTAACTATTTTTTTTCTCTTGTTTTCTTTTGTCTATCTTAACCTGTAATTACTTTTTATCAAATTAGGATTGAAACTTTTATTACATTACATTCTTGTTACATAATTTGCAGCAAATAGTTAATGATGGATTTGGTAATTTATGAATGAACAATTATGTTAGAGATAAGATTAATAATAATTTATTAGTTTATATAGAGTAATACTTTCATTTTTATTAGACTTGAATACTTAGTTGTATGTAATGGTATTTTTATTTGGTTCTAAGAGATCTCTTATTTTCAAGATCAAAAATGCCTTTTATTTATAATAAATAGTTATTTATAATAAACAGTTATTTATATTAAATAGTTTATTTATATTGGTAATTAATTTTTAACATAAATGTAATATTTTTTATATCTTAATTATATTTAATAAAAGGTCAAAGACACTTTAAGAACACAGAACTCAGTGATTATTGCATTATATACAATCATATAATAATGTTATTTGTTTACTAGCACTAATAATTGGCTGTCTAAACTAAACCTTTACCTTATGCTAACCCTAGTACTAAATTAAATGTTTAATCATGATTATTGAGTTCTGTGTTATTGAAACTTCTCAAAGGTTAATATCTTATTTATTATATAAGTAACAAAAATAGCATAAGTAACAGAAGTAATAGAAGTAAAAAAAATAATATAAATAATATTTCTGGTACTTTTTATGTAATTTCAAATCAGATAAGGATTATTACTTCGATTTAGACTCTTATGATTCTCAAAAAATCAGGCTCACAATAGTAATTTTTAATTCTTATAATCTTTGAAACAATTTTAGAAACTTTGAGACTAGTGTATATGATATAAATAAATCTCATAACTTATTTTATCTATTTTATTATAATAATATTCTTATTATTCATCTTGCTGACTATATTTTTTTATATGACTGAAGGTTTTAAAGATACAAATAGAAATGGAAAAATTAAAAAATTTTCAAATTTATTATGCAGACTGTGCAGTTTGCATAGGTTTGCATTACAGCTAATGCAAGCCAATATTATTAAATTTTGTAACATTTTGATAAATTTCAGGCTTCTGAAAAATTCTGCCTTTGCAGTATTCCATCTTTAGATATAATAATAATTTTAATAATTTTTGATAGTTTAGAAATTGAATCATTAATAATAATTATATTAAGTGAATTATCAAATTATTTTGATCATAAAAATATAGTAAACATTATTATAGTATTGCAAACATTTTTTTATTTAAATTAATTTTGGCTTCTTATTTGTAATTATACCTAGTGTAATACTGGAAATTGTGATACTAAAGATTATAACCAATTATATAAAAAATGCATAAAATGCAATAAGTGTAATAAGTGCAATAAATGTAATAAGTATAATAAGCTACATTTAAAATTAGAAATGATATTTTGAATTTGAAGAAGTAGATAAAAAATAAAAGAAGAAAATAATAAATATTAAATAAATATATATAAATAGTTTAATTAGTTTTAATAGATAAGTCATATTTGTAAATGATGAATTTTATATTATAAATAAAGGCTGAAATAGTCTTTAGGAGCAGTACACTTTATTTGCTTTATTAAATAATAAATTCCAATACACTATATTGTACAAAATAAATACTAATACTATTATTGTTACAAACCTTATAAATTCCTATAATACTATATTTAAGCCCTTGACCATGTAACTTACCCTACTTGTATTCATTGATTCAAAGTAACCAAATGTTTTAATCATCTATTAGCCAAATCTAATACCCTCTTTCAAAAAGATTACTTATCATTTGTTATACAAAATATTGAATTGTGAAGTAATGGAGTTACAAACTTTTGAACCCAATATTAGCTTCAATATTAAAATGCACTTTACTTACTCCAATATATAATATAACATATAGTACAGCCATTTTATAAGCAGCAAATTACCAAGTTTAGAGATCATTATTGCATTCATGTTAATGCAGTTTTAGGCAAGATTATACCAGTCTATTATTATATATTGTTATTTTTCTATATATATACCTCTTTTCCTTAGACCATTTTATTTTGGCAGCAACTTGTGCTAAAACACATTTATTTTATCATAACCAAAGTAATGTTTATGATTCTATTTTAAACATGCAAGAAAATGATATTGCAGAACTTATTAATGCATATTATACTAATAATGCTCTTGCAGAGGACTATGATTCTAACCAAGCAGACAATAATGTGTAGATACCAACTAATAAAATGCTTAATTTTACTACAAAAATTCACAGAAATAACCTACTTCTAAAAGCTGCAAGAACAGATATTTTTAAGAATCAACTACATAACTCTGAGATCAAGTATAAAGCACCAATTATAGACAAGAGAATTTGCTTATGTTTTCAAATGCTAAGAAGACAAATAAGCTCTTTTCAAAAATTGCATACTGATTATCAGCTATACTTTATCCACTAAATAACACTCTTAAAGCTATTTACTATATAAACCAGAGGATGATGCCAATGCACTTCAAGCCTGGAACTATATTGAATTATTTTTTAAAGATACACAAACATTATTACTTAACACCTTATCTTATATTAATAATCTCAGATAACAACAATTTATTAAAATTATTTTATTTAATTATACTCTACTCTCAAACAAAGAGAAAGTATTTGAAAATGATCTCAAACCAATTGTTAAAAAGAAAAATTCTATAAATAAACTCTTTATTAAGGCAGTAAAAAGCCATAAAAGACAACATAATTATAAAAATAGTAGTTTTAGACCTACATACATCAAAAGTAATCCTCTGTTCAGCTAAGTGCAAAGGAGTAATTACTAGTTCTATAGTCAAACATGTAATCAGGAAATGTCTTTCAGGGTGGTCACAGTTATAAAGGTTGCCCAAAAACATACAACAACCAAAACAGCAATCAGAACAATTTATCAAATTAGACACAAATATAATTTCAGTTGCAAAAAGATTATCAGCATCCTTATGAAATTAGTTTCAACTATTAGACTCCTTATAGTATATATATATTATCAAGAAAGGTTTTTATTTGAAATAGATTACATCTTTTCCACTAAATTACTTTTCACCAGATCCAAATCAAGCTGTTACTTCAGAATTAGTAATAGAAATCCAAAGCTCTTAGAAAAACAAGTTATAAAAGAGATAAATATAAATATTCTATGTTTTCTATCAAGAGTTTTTATTATTCTCAAAAAGGACAGATTAGCAAGACTTATAATCGACCTAAAGGAATTAAATTCTTATATATATACCTTATATTTCAAAATAGAAATACTAGAAACTGTCAAATTACTAGTAAAAAGAAATAATCGAATGACTACAATCAATATTTAAGATGCATTTCATTATATGCCTATGTCTATTTTAGCATATTGTTACTTTGTATTCAATATTAGCAATCATTGATTCCAGTTTACTGCTCTTCTATTCAGCTTGACAAGCAGTTCTAGAATATTTACAAAACTGTTAAAACCAGTATTGGCTTATATAAGAAATTAAGGCATTAGGTTAATAATCTATCTAGACAACATTCTATTATTAGCACTCTCAAAAATAAAAGCAATAATACAAACATTAATGGTAGTACAAATATTGAAGAAACTTAGTTTCAAAATCAAGTTCTCAAAGTCCAACCTCATTTCATTTCAACAAGTCAAGTTTTTAGACTTAAAAATAAATGCAAAAGAAATGACTTGAGGTGTGGTGACCTAGTGAAGTAGCCAGGTTGTCAACCTCTCAAGTGGTAGGTTGGGTGTTCAAATTCCATCGATGGTAAAAATTTGGATAATCACCTATGTAATATTTGTATTACAGCAACTGTTACTAATGATTGAGTTAGGATACTTGTAATGGCAGTTGCACCAGCATGACTGGCAGGTCATGGGGCATTTGTGCAATATTGGAGTTATACAAAGGAATGCAAACTGATATATCAGGCAGTGCAAACACTAGATAAGTCCTTGTGGCCATGTAAATCCATTGAAATTGGATAACAAAAAGTCTATTTGAGAAGATTTGAGTAGAGAGGTAGCTAGATCTTCGACAGCCCTACTGTAAAGGTTAGCTTAGAGAAATGAATATCAAGGTCTAGTACTTGGTCCTAGTAGCCAGATGGGCAAGAACCTTCAGGTTGGGAGTCTCAGAAGTACTACCAATTAGGCTACCAGAACAAACCAGAGGAAAAGGATATCAGGCTGACCTGATATACCAATGGACTGGTCATAGTCCTACATGGACTATCTGGATTAGGAGTTTGGTAAAAGGATAGGGGAAAAGGCAGGGGTATACTAAAGTACTGGGGTTATGCTGTGAAGTAGATGCTGGGGTCCAAGTGAACTCTACAAGGGCATAGCAGTTTAATGATAACCCTGACTGCAAATGTTGGTTCTGCCATAGTGATACCTAGGTCAGCTGTAAAAATAGGTACAGAAGGCTCTGGGGGGTTTACCTTAAGGATAAATTAGTCCTAAAGTTGAGAATAATGATCTGGTACATCTGAGATGACCAGTGATGTTAATACAGATTACAAATTCAGAGGGTTTAAAGTAGAACACCCAAGCAGAGGTATTAGGTATGGCAATTGGTAGGAAACCTTTAGACAGACTCCTTAAATAGGTAATATAGAAAAGTTACACATGTAGCCAATTGAATCACAATACTGATAAGTGATTAATAAAAGTCAAAAGACCAAAGAGGTTACCTTAATACCAAAAAAAAAAAATAAAAAATAACTTTATCCTTATCTTCAAAAAAAGTCAATAAGCTAAAAAGAGAATGCTCTATAATGACAAAGAAGCAAACTATTTATATAAAAAAATTAACAATAACTATTGGAAAGCTTTTAGCCTCTACTGGCATAGTGCTTCTAGCAAAACTAAAAACATAGTCCCTAATAAGAGACAAAAATCTAGCTTTAAAAAAACATGGCTGAAATACCTATTTAATTCTATTGCCTAAAAGCATTTAACAGTTAAGCTGATAGATAATAAATCTGAAATACTGGAATGAAACATGTGTACTACAAGATAGCCCAATAATAACTATCTTTACAGATGTCTCTTTAACAGGCTAGAAGGCAATAAGAAATTATAAAACAGTTTATAGTCACTAGACCAAATCTTAAAGAAGGTTGCATATAAACATTCTAAAATTAAAACAATTTATTACACTCTATTATCTTTTAAGAACATCAAAGATTAAACAATTTTGATAAAATTAGACAATACAACTACAGTAGCATATTTGAACTACCAAAGTAAAACTGCATTTAGAGAATTGAGGCTTCTAGCAGAAGATATATAGAAACTCTACCTAAACAAAAGAAACAATATAATTGCACAGCACTTATTAAAAAAGTTGAACCTAGAAGCAGACTAAGCCTCAAGGCACAAATTTGAACAACAGAATTGGCAGCTAAATCATTTGATTTTTAACAAACTAATAAGCAAATAGGGATCATTTATGATCAATCTGTTTGTAAACAAAGACAACACTTAGCTATCATGTTATTTCTCAAGATTTCCAGACCTAGCAGTCTTTGCAACAGATGCTCTAAAACAGAACTGGCCCAAGAAAATGCTATAGGCCAATCCTCTATAGATATTTATCTCCAAGATACTATCCAAAACAATTGCAGACCAAGCCACCCTTTGCATTATTATTTCAGAATGAAAGACAGCACCTTGGTTTCCATCATTGATGAATGTACTAATAGACTTCTTAGTGTTACTACCATCTTGCAAACTGCTGATCCCATCACAAACCAAACAACCCAACCCTCTATGAAACCCAAAATGGTGAATGTTCATCTGTCTAATATCAGGACTAGGCTATAAACAAAAAAGTTTTTGAAAAAAGCTATTAAAAAAGTACAAGATACAATGAATAAATCTTTAAGCATTACAGTGGGATCAGTGTTTAACAAGTGGCATGTTTAGTGTAATAAAAGAAACATAAATCTTATACAGGGCCCTATAGAGCAAGTAATTAAATTTTTAAATAATATATATAATCAATATAAAGCATTCAATACAATAGCATTTTACAGATCAGTAATAAGTAAAGCTTATAGTTATGTTGATGGTTACTCAGTAGAAAAACACTCTAACATTGCTAAATTCATGTTAGCAATCCAAAAGATAAATCCTTTTTCATTACTTTTAGATGATGCATTAGACATTATGCCTGCTTTAAACTATATCACAAGCCTAGGTTCTAATGAAAACATAGCAATATTAAATTTATTACAGAAAGCAGCTTTCTTAATAGCTTTAGGAACTGCTTTTAGATCTAGCAATCTTTGCAGAATAAGCTTAAAAACTTTTAAAAAATCAAAATCAAAAATATTTTTCAAAATCATAAATTTCAAAAAAACTACTATTTCAATAGCATATAAGAAAAATAAATACAGAACAAAGAAAATTTTTATTGATTACTATAAGGACTGGGATCTATGCCTTGCCTTAACAATATTGAAATTACTGGATTGAACATATAATTGAAGAAATATTTCTAAAAAACTAGAGTATCTGTTTCTAACATCCACTACACCTTATTGATCAGCATTATATGACACCATTGCAAGATGGTTTAAACTTATTTTGATGCAAACAGATCCTACTGCAAAAGCCAAGAATATAAGAATATTATTGGCCTTGCTCACACAAGATGCAGAAGCAGATATAAATACCTTATTAGCACTAGGCAACTGAACAAACTATACAGTTTATTAAAAATTTACCAAAGAGGCATTAGGGGAATGCTAAAACAAAATAAAGTTTTATCTTAGATCTTAAACTAAGCAAAAGTTATACAATAAAGATACTTTGAAGTCTACATATAATATTATATATTAAAGTGAGTAAAGTGCATTTTTACTAATAATCAAACATAGTAAAGATCATTAGTAAATGTATGAATGAACAAAAATATATAATATCATGTCATTACCCACTTCAAACTTATTAATTATACAATATGAATTCCTTTCCAAATCACAATCTAACTATTTATATTTAAAACAATAACAATAAAGCACTAGTAATGGCCTAAGGAAAAGAAGTTAATTAGATAAGAGGTATATATATAGAAAAATAACAATACATAATAATAAACTGGTATAATATTGCCTGAAACTGCATTAATATGAATGTAATAATAATCTCTAAACTTGGTAATTTGTTGCTAATAAAAATGACTGTACTATACATGATATTATATATCTTTATTCATTCATATATTTATTAATGATCTTCACTATGTTCTATTATTGATAAAAATTTATGCCATTTATAGTTATTTTATTTTTATTTTTTTTTAATTCAGCAGTCCTGCCACTACTTTATTTAACACTTTGTAATTTTATAATAAATTTGTATTATCTTACATAGTTTGTCTATCTAGACATTTATACTAAAGAGTGACCCATCTGGTTGTTCTAGTGATACTTAAGTGTAATCTGCTATAGCAAACTTCACCTCTCATAGTTTCTTCTCTTAAAGCAAGAGAATGTACTTAGCTCTACGGTTAGGGTTTGCTGCCTGTCAACTACTGCCTTTTAGCTCATATTTCAGCTTATATAAGTACCTTTTTGTATCTAGCTATAAACTTCTATATTTGCAATCCTTAGGATTTCTGTCCAATTCTTTTTAATTTTTCTTCTGTTATTTAGCATGTCTTTTTCAGTAAACATTTTCTCTAAGCTTCTATTCTGTTTTTTTTATTCTTTACTTTTATATTTATTTTTTTTATTTTTTTTTTAGCACTGTTCTGTCTTTTTATTACTTGAGTAATACCAATTTTCTTTTCATATTTGTTAACTATATGCATTGATCTTTCCAGATTCTTTTTTGAAAGAACTTTAACTACTTGTCAAGAAAGATAGTTGCTGCTCTCTTGGCTTTGGTGCTTAATATATCTTTTTTTTTAAGTGAAGATATTATGTCATCTGCCAAAAGTCCTCTTGCCATTTCTACATGTCTTCTTTTATACTCTTCTTTGTTGCCTAGTATAAACCTCTTTATAAAAAGCTTCTTACTTATTAGCAGTTTCTTTTCATTATTTAATTTATTCTATATCTTGCTGAGGATTTCTTTTTCTTTTTCCAACCAGGCTTCTCTGTTACAGAGATATATTGTCAAGTGCTCTGCTGTCTCTTCTGTTTCTAAGCACTTACAACACTGAATATCTTAGTAAATCTTTGGACTGTGCAATTTCCTTTTTGCTAAGAGAGAAGCAAATTGTTGATACACTTTATTCAGAAACTTCATTTACTATTTCTTTTTTGCTATGCTTTGTAGCTTGTGTGCCTTTTCATTAATGTGTAGAAAATACTTAGTTCTTTTGGCTGATTCATTTTAAATGTATTTCATCCTGTGCTCTCTGATTAAAGATCTATTCAGCTCTAGCAGCTGTTGTTAAAACATTTTTTATAAGTTCTCTTGGGCATATTCTATCTCTAGCTCTTTCCATATTGGCTGAAGAATCATGTTCTTGGTTATTACTTGGTTTATCTCTATTGCACTACTAATATTACCTCCTTTTTTTGCATTTTTGTCTGCTCTATTATTCCATTTGTCTTTTAAATGGACTTTTACTTTTTCTAAAACTAGTTCTATATTCTTTTCTAAAACTACTTCTCTTATTGTGCTTAAAATTGTCATATTGCTTATTTTTATCTATTTTCTTATTCTTACTGTATTACACATCTTATTCACTAGTGTCAGAGCTGCACTGCTGTCAGATCTAATTACTACCTTATATTCAGAAAGTGTTATTAAGAGGGCCTCTAGTATTGCCATAAGTTCAGGTCTTGTAGATGACATCCAGTTCTGAATTCTTCTTTTGGTATTTTTTACAAACCTTTTCTTTTTATCTATTTGAACTACTCTGTATCCTAATATCTTTTTATCATTTACTACTCTGCAAGACCCATCTATATAAAAAGTTATTTCATCTTCTTTTTAATTCTCTGACAGTGCCAACTTTAGCTTCTTTCTTTTTTTCATCATTTCTTATTATTTTATCTATTAAGATTGTACTTAGGCTTTCTACTACTATACTCAGGTTATCTTTTTCCTCTTGCATTAATCTTAGCTCCTTTTTAGTTATTAACTGCTTCTTACTTCTGCTTGTGAAATATTCTATTTCTAGTAGCAAAGTGGCTTCACTGTTTGTGCAATTAACATACTAAGTAATATCAGTCAGCTTTTCTGTTTTGACTCTTTTAACTTCCTTATCTTGTCACTTTTTTTCTTCTTGATTTGGTTTTTTCCTCTTTATTTGAAGGCTGTTTTGCTTATCATTCTCATAACACATAATCTCTGTAGTATGGAGTCCTTTTCTTATTACTCTTCCTAATGTTGGGTGGTTTTTCTTGTCTTCATTAATATACACCCATTTATGTTTATTTCTCTTGGATAAAATTGCTCCTAAATGTGGTACCAGAGCTTGGTAGTTCAGGTTTTGTGTACAGAATTTTTCTTGTAAAAGTCTTGTTTGAGTATTCTCCATTATGATGCTTTCTATTTCTTGAAACCAATTTGCTTTTTTCCTGCTTGCTTTTTGACCTGAGAGTCTTTTGATCTGTTGCCATGTTAATAGTTTTCTATCCTTTAAGTCCAGGAGTTGCTCTATATGCCACAATTCACTACTTCTTAGCTTTTTTCAGTTTTTGGTTTTTTCATTCTCTTGAAGCAGTTCAATAATCATTTTCGAGTTTTTGTTCTAGTCTTAACATAGGCACTAATCCTCAAACATATACTCTGTCTTAATTTCTATATTTAGCTTTTTTACCAATTTTAATATTCTTGCATTAAGATTATATTTAAAATTGCTTATTTCCAAAATACCCATTTCTAAAAACCATATTGGTTTTAAGCTGCATAGATCTTTTTGCACTTTTTGGATTCTTACTAATGTTGATTGTTCTAAGATTCTCACATCATTAATTCTAATTAGCCATTCTGCAAGTATATGTTCTGTATGTCTTTGCCAAAAACTTTTAATGTCTAACAATTCTTTATGACTTTTTATGCTATTTGCTGCTATTAATGCTAAATCTGCTTTCTACTTTGCCAATTTAATAACTGGTTGGTGGATCTTATCACATATTTTTTTTTCAATAGACATATATTTGCTTTGTACTCTAATTGTGGCAGCAATATTTTGTTGTTTAGATATTTCATCTGCCCAATTGATATCTTCTTATTTCTAACAATACTTGTAAAGGTGTATATCTCTTTTTTGAGCTTGCATATGCATTGTTTATATATGTCCTAAGCTGTAATCCAGACTCCTAAGAACTGTGCTGCTTTTTCTTTATCTAGAGGTTTAACTTCTGATCTTTGTCTTCCTAGCCTTATAGACTTCTGTGTATTTTCTTTTTTTGCATTCACTATTATTAGCTCTGATTTCTTGAGGTTTATATCTATATCATTTATGCAGTAGAACTCATTTGCTTTGTCTAGTATCTCTTGCATACTGTGTTGTAAGTTAGCTATAAAAGTTGTGTCATCTGCAAAGGCTAAACAACTTATATTCAGTTCTTTTGTAAATTTGTTCCATCTTATTTCTTTTTGTACCCTTTGGACAGTCATATTGTAGTCTTTTCTCAGATTTTGTATTTTACAAAGTAGGGGATCATAGATTATTCTCTATATAAAAGGAGATATTACTTCTTCTTGATCGATTCCATCTTCTGCCTTGAAGCCTTCTGTTAGTCTGAATTTGGTAATTATTTGAATCTTTCTTTTGCTATAGATTTTTAGTATAAACTTTGAAACTTCTTCTAAAATCTTTATTCTTCTAAGTGCTCTTTTAATGCTTTCAA